AAAAAAAAAAAAAAAAAAAAAAAAAAGGGCATACCTCATCTCCATCCTCAAAATCAACCCCCGCATCATCCAAAGCAACGGTCACCCTTTCCTCCTTCGCACCAAGTAACCCACGGATCTCTAGCACCTTCGACGAGAGACGGGCCTGCGCCGGGTCGAAGGGGGTGGAGATTTGCTGGAGGTAGGTTGTGCGGCGTTTCATTATTGGATTAGATTATTCGATCAAGTGGGTTGGATTGGGGTGGTGTTTGCTTGCTTAGGAGGGAGGGAGGGGATTCTGCTCTGTCAGTGGTCTTTGAGGTTTCGATGATGGATGGATTAATTCGGTGGGTGGTTGGGTCGAAAGGACTGGGCGGGTATATATTCTGCAATTTCTCGTGGTGGGTTGTTGGGTTGGCAATTTGATTGTTTATCGTACTCAAGAAGGTCGGTTGGTGTGGAGTTGACGACAGATGGAGCTTGAGCTTAAGCTTGGATGTTATGTTGACGTTGCGGAGGGAAAGTTGGCGGTCTGGTGTTGTTTTGATTGGTTGGAGTTATCTTATCGTTATCGATAAGGATTTATGATAAGGATCCAGATGGGTTGGTCCGGGGTCATTACTGTCTAACTACGGTAATTGTCTACGACCTAACTAGTAGTGTACCTAACAGAAGACTCAGGGAATGTCGCTTCAATATTATTCCTCTATTTACATATCATCTAGTCAGCAGTTCGAATGATTACTTTTATTCGAATCTAAACTAATCTCCCGTCATCAATCATCATCGTTCATAATCCTCAGCGATCCAGCCGCTCACGCCCAAACGCCGAATATGCTGAACCGAGCCCTCAAAAAAACAAAGAAAGAAAGAGATCACAGATATCATGGGACACAATAACAATACTATGGTGGGAATATAGAACGCAGAATCAAGGGAGAATATCCCGCAGCATCTCCTTCTGTGACGCAGTCAAGCTAGCAGGGAACCGCACATTAACCCGAATGATGAGGTCGCCCCGCTCGGTCGGTTTCTTTGAAATGGTCATGCCCAGGCCCGGATACCGCTCCTCGTATCCCGGTTGCGTGGGACCTGGCTTGGCGACTTTGATGGACTTGCCGTCGATGGTGCGGACAATGCGTTCCCAGCCGGTGAGAGCCTCTTTCAGACTCAGTTCGACGGTCGTGATGAGGTGGTCGCCTTGGCGCTTGAAGTTGGGGTGTTCCTTCTGCACACGAAGTTAGTAAACAATCGTCAACAGTGTCTTGAGAGGGAGCCAGAGAACCTACCTCAGTGACAATCAGATGCACGTCCTGTTTTCCACCTTCCTCCTGATCTCCCACGCCACGATACTTGAGTTTCGATCCCGTGCGTAGACCAGGCTTGATCTTCGCCTCCAGCGTGACGTCCTGCACGGTGCGTTTGCCAGTGGCCGGGTCAAACGACTTGCTCTTAACCGTCACCTTCTTCGTCGTGCCCCTCATAATCTCCTCCAGCGTCAGCGGCAGCTCCTTCTCCATGACCGCGGGCTCCGGCGTCGGGGCGCGCGCAGATTGCTTGAAGCCGGTCGACCCGCGGTTGGTCCGGAAGCCGCGACCACCGCCTAGACCACCACCGAGCATCGAGAAGAGGTCGTCTTCATCCATGCCGCCGCCCATGCCACCCATGCCGCCACTGGCTTTGGCGAAGTTGCGGAAGATATCGTCTGCATCACTGAACCGGAATCCGCTGCTGCTTCCACCGGGTCCAGTCGAGAAGTGGAACGTGCGGGTACCTCCGCCTCCGCCTCCAGGCATACCACCGAACGAGAACCCGCCGGGCATGCCTCCTGCGAAGGGGTTGGCACCACCATCGGCACCACCACTCGACGGGGGCGGGCCACCCCGCATGAGATATTCCAGACCGAATTGATCATAGACTTTGCGCTTCTCGGGATCGGAGAGAACTTCGTATGCTTGAGAGACCTCTGTAGACACTTTGTGTTAGCTGTGTGACCGGGGAATATGGGACAACGAACGGGGACCTACCTTTGAATTTCTCCGACGCAGCTGGGTTGTCCTTGTTCTTGTCCGGATGGTACTTCAAGGCGGCCTTGCGATAGGCCTTCTTGATTTCATCCTGTGAAGCATCCGGTTTGATTAATAGGGCATCGTATAGCTTTGTTTCAGCCACCATTGTGAAGGATATGGAGTTGTAGAGTAAAGAACGAAATGCAGGTCAAAGTGTGAACGAGAGAGTTGACAGGTATGTTGTCAGGTACTGAAGAACGCTAATTGGAGCAACTCGATGCCTCCAATATAAGCAATCAACGAGGAGGAAGGATCACACCACCGGTCGGGGGTGTGCGTCAGGGGGGTGATGGAAGGTCGAAACCGGGCGGGGAAGGGAGTTCGATCTCGAATGACGTAGAAGATTCACCAGTCACTGATCACTGACCAGCACGGCGAAGTAGTGCGCAAGTCCGGGAGAGGTGAGATAAGAAGGATGCAGGGGGAGAACGCGAACGATCGAGATGATGTTTTAGTGCTCAAAAGCAGATCAAATGCAACATGTTAAAGGGCCAGCGGACAAGAGCCAGGTGGTGTCGGGGGGGGACAAACGGTGGAAGTCTTATGCAGCGTTGGCGGGCTGTGGCTTTCAGGTGAGCCCTGCAGTGACGTGTGACGATGTCTCCCCGCTGGCTGGGCCAATCGAAGGTTCGAGAAGGTTCGATGAGTCTGGCATTGACAGGACAAAGGCTGAGGATCTTGGGACTTGTTGCTATTAATGACAAGTCTAAGAGAAGAGCAGGCTGTCGATCCTTTGGAGAGAATGGTTCCAGGCAAAACTAACTGTGAAGGAAAGAAGGAGGGTTAAGACCGGAAAGAGTTCCATTCTACTAGTAGTGATGCGGCGAGGCCCGGCCGCTTGCCTGACACGGGTGTCACTGTGGTGTTATTACCTCGTAGTAGAGGGAAGTGGCTGTCTGCGCTCAGCTACAGTAGTCACCATAAAAACATGAGAAAGGTTTAGAATGTTGATAATGAAAACATAAAAGCAAGGTCTCAAAGAAAGAAAAAAAAGGGTTCTCATCGGTTTCGCCGGGGAATATTCCTACCCATGGCCGCGTCGGCGCATGGGCACTTTACCCCTCCACGAATCGAACGCAGGACCAAGGACCTTGAGGCGGGCATCCACTCCCGCTGGGCCACCCGGTCCTGCTCTACCGAACTTATCGCGTTATTTAATGATGACCCAGCAAGCACTAACCACTTTAGTAATTTCATGCGAGTAAACGCCGAACTCTCCAGTCGAACCCTTGGTAGACCCATCGAAGTCCCGAGGTACTGTGGCTATCCGATCGAATGTATCACCTTCAACACCATTTTTGCCAATCCATACTCATATACTGCAGGAACAACGTCCCGGGGGAGAACCTTCGGACCCCCCATTTTCTTTCAGCCTCCCGGCTATAATTAATCTTATGACTAAACCATGCAACAGGATACAAGGCTTCCGCTCGAGAATGATCATCTTGGTTCCGCACTGCACGTCCTACATTGATTGATTTTATACTCGACAAGAAATACCTACAATCTGACCAACAATGCACCTCAAGTCCAACAGCGTACGTCACATCATCCGAATCACTTCCTCCCAACCACAAGGTAGTCCTTGATCACCGCCGACCCATCGACCACGCTCTCAATCTGCTCCTCGGTGCAAGTCTCCTGCAAAGCAAGTACATAACATACCGGCTCTGGGACCTCAGGCACCGCATTCTTAATGCCCCACGTCGACTCGGGTCCCTGGCTCTGGTACCCCGGGTTCACCACAGTGGATACCCTACCCGTGGCGAGGTCCCGATCAAACAGGGCGCGGTTGAAGATCTCATACGCTGTCTGCGGCTGGTAGGCAGGCACCTCATGGCCCGCCTGGTAGACACGGGTGAAGGAGAAGTTCCCAGCCTGGCGGACTAAGCCGCCGACGTACGACGCGTTGGTCTTCAGCTCAGCATAGCCCGCGGCGCGGAAGCTATCCGCACCGACGAAGTCCACCCGCGTGCTGACCTCCTCGCCCCCGGTCCACGGGCAGGCGAAGTCCCGGTCGCCGTAGACGAGGGCCACCTTGACGCCGGAGTCGAGCACGTCACCAAGGTCCTCGATCAGGGTGCGGCGGCGGTCTGACCGCGCGTAGTCGCCCGTCGACCGGAACGCCTCCCAGACACTCTCGGCGGAGCGGGTGTAGTTGACGGGGACGCCCAGCGCGGCCTGCACCCAGTGCTGGTTGAGATATCCGATGAAATAGGGCTCGGGGAATGGGTCCTGTGCGGAATGCGCGAAATCGTAGTAACCCCGGTCCGAGTACTTCTTGAAGGGGCCCTTAACTTCGTCGATGCAGTACGCGTCTGCGTCCCGGCAGACCTGGTTGACTGTCTGATTGTTGCCGTGCATATTTGGATCGCCTGCGGCGGCCACCGCGCGGCACCGGATGATCTGGTCTTTGCAGCCGTCCGGCTTGCTCCAGGCGTGCATGGCGGCGTCGTAGATGGTGCGGTTGAGGGCTTCGATGCCGTAGGTGTTGTTGTAGGCGATTGTGGGGAAGCTCGGCGCTTGCACCAGCAAGTCGACGCAGCCGTTGATGATGCCGAGGGTATCGAGGTGGATGGGATGACCCGACAAAGTGCCGTTGGCAATCTTCTGGTTCTGGTCTTGGAAGAACGCTGCAAAAGCCGGACCATAGCGGCCTCCGTAGGACTCCGTCCAGATGCTGACGCGGTCATCATGGGGCTGGTACTCGGGGAAGTCCGAGAACCATGTCTGAGCGAACACCCACAGGGCACGGGCGGCGTTGGCGGTTCCATTGATGGTGGTCTGGTTGTTCATGCTAGGGAATGTACCCACGTAGAAGGTGTTGTTTTGCTCGGGGACTCCATCCTGCAACCCAGAAACATCCCACTCACCCGTAAGCGCATTGAAGGTTCCATTCATAGCCACATCATAGCTGAATCCCGTATGGATCGGCTGGTCAATGTACAGCATGTTGGCATAGTTGTTCCACGACCATGGGTTGATCTCCGTCGAATTCGAGTCCTTGTTGACGACACACGGGCCATTTTCCTGAAGAAGACCGATAATAGACGATCCACCGGGGCCGCCGTTCATCCAGATCGACAGTGGAGCGTTGGCGGGGTTGTTTCGAGACTCAAAGAACCAGAAGTAGGTATTTATGGGGTATTGCTGGTCCACCCCAAGGTCATTGAGGGTACCCGGGGGAAGGTGGACATAGCCAGAGAACGACTTGACCCCCGGCGTGGTTTCACAGATTCCAGGCTGGCAAAGAGATCAGCTTGCAGCCCAAGATTCAACTTGTTCGAATAGTCAACCAACATTTTTGTAGGAGATCTTGGCACCTTCATACTGCTTTGAATCGATGACGGTGACACCTTCAGGCTGGGGAGAGAAATACTGGCCGGCCGCAGCGCAGGCCAGGACGGAGGCCACCACCACAGTACGCAGGGAAGGCATTGGGACCAGCTGGTAGGTATGTGGTTGGAAGAAGGTCGAATTGACCGACCGGCAGCATTTTATAATGGTCCATCGGGATGGTGCAATGCTTAGCTCCAAATGAACGTACTTAATAAAGAGTAGTTAGAGTGCACGCAAGCAAGCTTGCGGCGATAAGACCGGCAGCGTTATGACTGGTTTAGTGTTGCCGGTAACCCTGCAGTGGCGGTCGGATCACTCCGCCGTCAGCCGCTGACTGTTGAATGTCGCCTGCACCAGGTTTGGGGCCATCAATGCTTGCTAGGCAGAAGAATTAGTGTGTTGTGGAACATGAAAGAGGGCTGTGAACCGTTAATTGGAATCAACGAGGCGTCATACGCTTGCGCTTAGAGAGAGGGGAGATACACCCGTGAAACAATATCACAAGATCAAGATGGCAACCATACCGTGATATGAACTATCCACAGGCATGTAATCTCACATAAACATAAATGACATCTAAGAAGAGTGAACTCATGGGATATAATAAAAAAAAAAAAAAAAAAAAAAAAAAACCACAAATAAAATACTCAAGAAGCGCCAAGTTCCCGCGCTGGCTTTCCTTTCCAGAGCAATGGCTTCCAGCCACCATCCTGATTCCCAACAAGAAAGACCAAGACGCCCAGGTATTCCATAGTCAGTCCTCCAACACCATAACACGCTGCAAAACAGACATAGAAGAACATGAATGAAGCCGAAGACACAGATAAAAGCAAGGACCCAGATCAGAGGCAGAATGCCGAGCCCAATACCCAAGCCAATCTGTGTCATATATAAGAGGACGAACGTCCGAAGCATGTGCCGGAAGGATATATGTACGAGCGAAAGCAGAATTTTAAATAGTGGGACGCTGATAATGAATCATGTTGTGATGCATCTTCATGCAAGGTAGGGAGAGGCTGCAGCATTACCCTGAACATCTGCATCAGAAGCAAGTGCCTTTGTAAGTTCAGCCTTCCCGACTGCAGCAATGTCGTGCAAATCGGACTTTTCGATGTGCGAGGAGGTGATGGTTTTAGGGGAGAATTTAGCCGAAGTTGATGGCTGGAAGATAGACCTCTCCTTGATGCTAGCTTCCTTATCCGATGCGGCATCCGACTCATGAAGGCTGGAGACTGAGTGGAAATCATCGCGATCGAGTGACGTTTTGTTGTACGACTCTGGTGCTGCATTGGACGACGAGTCACTGAGGGAGTCGTCAGACATGGAGTGCAGGGGCAACTCATGAAGCCCAGTCATGCCCGAGCGGCCGGGGCTAGACGCAACTGACCGGCGGCGGCTGAGTGACCGAGAAACTGAAGTGGGCGACGTTGGAGTCGATGTCGAGATGGAAACAGGGGTGCGCTGAGGGTTCCGAGGTGGAAGTGCCGGTGGCACGCGCTTAGGGATGGTCACCAGCCGGGCACGCGTAAAGGTGGGTGAGTAACGTCGAAATTCAGAAGGCATTGTTGAATCTTCGATAGAAACTGGAGAACAGGCGGTGCTTTCCCGCTTGGAAACAGTAGCACTGCTGACTTCGTGCACCTCGAGGTCGTCATCGTCCACCAGATCGTCCTCTTCCTCATGAGCCACTGGACCGTCAGTGGGAACATGGTATTCGCCATGCTCAGGGATGACAGAATCCAAACGGGAGTCTTCCAGGTCTCGATAACTCCGAGAAGAGGCGCGACTGACTGAGGGGGGCGCTGTGGGGCCATCATAGGTTTGTGTTCCGCGATCCATGCTAGCATAGCTCTGCACGCTGGCTCGCCAGCTGTTGCGGGGCGAGCTATCGAGACTGCGTCGGAAGGTGGCATAAACAGGGCTGCTTGGTGCGGGTTTGAATTCGAAGGCCTCCTGCGACGGCCTGCTTCGCGAACCAGCCTCGCGGATGAAAAGACCCTCGGCTTCCAACGCCTTTACACCAAACGGATCGGGGTCCTCTGGATCAGGGACGCCGAAAGACCCAATCTCGGGTCCAATGTGGGCATCGCCGGGAGCGTCCCCTGGAGGTGGCAGGAGAGTCTCATCGACGTTAGTATCCCCCTGAGCGGCCTTTATGGTCTGCATGAGGGTCTGGATAGATGCGGGGGGGTTCTTCGCCTTGCCGGCTAAGATATCCGTTACCGATATGCGCTCGCCGTAAAACCGTTCGTTTTCGTCGCTTCTTTCGATGATAATCGTTCCGTCCACCTGAACACCGGCGTACAATCCACGGCTCTTCATGTAAGTCCAGATGGGCGCCTGTCGTTTGTGGACTTCGGATTCCAATACACCACCCATGCCAACGGGACCGGCAGAGGCACTTACTTCTCCACCCAGGGTGCAACGAACTTTCTTGAATGCTTCTAGCGCCTCGTATGTATTTATGACAACCACACAGTCATATATATCCACCCCGGCTAGAAACCCAATGCCCGCGGTATGCAGCATGATGCCCGACGGAGGACTCCACTCGCCGGTTTCAGGTATGCGTGCCAGAAGAACACCACTTCCGCCTGAGCCGCTTACCCAGAGACCGGTGCGCATGGTGGTGAAAATCGCGAGGCCTTTGGCCTGCTGAATTACTTGGGAAGGGATCTTCTTGAGAACTCGTTGTTTGCCTTTGGGCCGATCGATCTTGCCGGTGGTTTGGTTGACTGCGCTGTCGGTACTCGAGCGGTCCGCACCATCTTCGGTATAGAACCCGTCCTTGCAAAAACTTCGTAATATCCGGGCTGCTTTGTCGCTCTCTTTGTCGATCGCCATTGGCCAAAAGGCTTCTGCGCCAACTCGATTGGACAGTCGGTTGACGGGATCCCCCAGTTTATCGAGCGTGTGCCATGCTTTGTCGAAGCCTTTCTTGGACGTCCCTTTCGTCCGCTCCCAAAAGGTGGAAGGCATTGTGACAGGCTCAACGGCGAGGTCCGCTGAATCGCAGGACACTCAGTGACGGATGGGAGAACAGGACTGAGTCCTGGAGGGGGGGAGGGGGCGGCCAAGAGGGAAGCGAGGTAGGAGCGCAGGTCTATAACCACAGGCGCAAAAGTAGCTGGACGAAGACGGCAGGCGCAACAAACATGTGTTGCCGTTTAATTTCCCCAATGCAATGCGAGAATGTATGCAGCACAATAGCAAACGGATAGTTATCGAGGGTCGCTGACACAACCGAGGAATGCGGGTCTCAGGAATGTCAGCAACTATCTAGAGGCGGCGCAAAGGAAATTAGCTGGCTGAAGAAGAATGGACATTGGCAACCCGGGCGGACAACTGAGCTGGGGTCCCAGTCATAGTAATAGGATAAAAACTCAGAGGCCTGACGGAAATGTCCGTTTGATCCGCCAGATCCAGACCGAACGAGCCGGTTGACCCAGTGGCAAGGACAGGCAGCATACAAGAGACTGCAGTGGGGGGACCACGGAACGGGTTCAGATGGGGGTGGGAAATTGCTTACCAGGGCAAATCGGGCCGGGGGCAGTTTTGGGTAGTAAGCAATTCAATGCGATCCGGGGGTTTAGTCAGGTATAGCAAGAGTTGAAATAGAGTTCAAAGGCAATGTTCTTCTCTTCCTTGCACAGGAAATGAGGGGGAAGGAGGGAGGGAGAGAGGGGAGTTGAGTTGGCTTTGAAGGCAAAGATATATAGTAAAGTAAACTCAGTCGGCAGGTGACGATCGACTCTGTCGAACCCGTTTGGTCAGATGAGCTAGAGAAGTAGGCAGATGTACGACCCGGCAGACTAATGCAGTCGCGGGGGTAGAGAGGCTGAAGGAGGAAATAATCGATTCAACGGAATAACAAAATAGTGTCGACAAAAATAATAATGGGAAAAATAAATACACAGCTTACAGAGAGGGGGGAGGTGAAGGGGAAGGGAGGAAGGCAGAGGAGGAAGCAGAACAAGACTAAATCCGAACCCGGTCGGTATAGATGCAGCAGCCAGTGAATTGGAATAAACCAGGCACCACCAGTTCAGCACGGCTGGGTCGGAAGGGCATGGTTGGCAAAAGTGGCGCCGTGGCTGGTTCCGGACATGCAGAGAGAGAGATAGAACTGCTGCTGCTTACCAAGAGCAATAGAAGCGGATGACGAATAGTGAGTTGTTTTGAAAGAAAGTCGAGGAAGAGAAGATGAGTTACAGTCAGTCAGTCAGTCAGTCAGTCAGTCAGTCAGTCAGTCAGTCAGAGTGAGTGAGTGCAAAAGTACGGTACTGTATGTACTGCATGGCATCATTCCCGCATCATCAACTAATCAGCCAGCCCCAGCCGGTCGGGTTCTTGATTGCAAGTACCGTGTACCGTCTTCTTACTTCCCTTCCTATCTATACACTTGACATTCCTCTTCCTCTCCTCATTCTTTTCAATTTCAGTTGATATAAGGATATTGTTATTGTTTATAGGGGAGTACTCCACGATGCCACCAGAACCACCAGAATTCAATTGTCGAGTCCAGAAGACTCTCCCCCGAACCATAGGACTGGGCTCAGGCCATCAGAGATTGTTGCTGATCGCATCGTCATCGACTACGTACCCGAAAAAAAGAGGGTCGCAAAGAGGGTCCCTGATCCCGATCCTCCCTCCATCTGGGCCCCGTCGGATATATTCAGTTTTTCCTTATTCTCCCTTTCTTTCTTTCATATCACCAGATAAACTTTTTTTTTTCTCCAGTCAGCTGCCGGACGAACTCTTCTCCTTGACTGTAACTACTGTATCCACGGTTACTTGGTGGTTCTCCTTCCCTCCCACCCCTCTCTTCTTCTTCTTTTTCTTCTTCTTCTTCCTCCTCCCTGCATTCGGATCTGATGTTGGATGTTGATGCCGATGTCGATGTATCCAATGCGAGTGAGCATCTGACAGGTCCAATCGCCGTAACCTCAGCCCAGCCCTGCCTTTAAATCTCTTTCACCCCTTGCGACAACGGCTTTATTCCTCCCTCTTTGAGTCCCGAGTCGCCTAGGTGAAGCAGTCGTGAAGAGTTCGGAGAGGTTTATTTGTTTTGTTTTGTTGGCCTCACTCTCTATAACCCCCTCCCCCTTGTAGTCACTGGCAGTAAGTACTGTACCTGGTTACTACGGTAGGTCGTTAGTTCTAATGCACTTATACCTATATCCACTCACTACCTGCACTCAACTTGAACCACCTACCTACTTACTTACCTCCTCACCTTCCCGTTTCCACTCCCGCTCAGCTATAGTTTCCATGACAGGTCCAGACCCCCCATCCCCAATCCGGCGAACAAGCGACCCACCATCCACTGCAGTAGGCACTTAGTACTACTATACAGTAACGTAGTCCAACGAATCCGTCAATAGTCCCCTCCTTTCCCCGGAAAGATGTGCGCAGCTATAGGATCCGGTTGGTTGCCTAGGCGAGATGACTGACGGAGTACTCAACTCCCCGAAATCCAGTTTACCTTCTGCGAAAAAGACCCCGGAGGTAGATTGATTCTATTTTAAACATCCGACACAAACACAAACCTGCCAGACGGTGATGATGATGTTGATGATGATGACAGTGGCGGCCTTCAACATTCAGCCTCAGCTCATCTCTCCAAGGAAAAATAACAACCAATTCAAGGAAGAGGCTTCAGCTTCCGCTCTGCCTTGTTCTTGGGGTTTGCTTTTCGTGCCCTCGTTTCGGGGCCTTGCCAGATCTGCATCCCAAAGGAGCCAAATCGAGTAGATAGATACTAGGTAGATAGGGAATATAGGGTTGTTGGCGCCTCCCGAAACTCGACATATCAGATTCCATGATCTTTCTACAGTATAGTTTAGTGCCCGTCCCCGGGGCTGTCCCCCCCCCCCCCCCCGTGATGGTCGAGAAAAATCAAAATCCATACTAGGTGAGTGTTCCCACATGCCATTTTCATTTTTTCTTCTTCGCCACAAGAACGAGGGTCAACAATGAATGAAAGATATCGTACGTATCAGATGTGAATAGTTCATTGGGTTTGGGGACAAATCGGCACGAGGATATCTGTGGTTTGGCGGTTCTTGCGGCTTGCGTTTGGCCCCCGAAGATGATGAGATGTTTTGACGAGAGTCGTGCGAAATAGCCTGCATCTACTTAGTACCTCCTGTACAGGACAAGAAAGAGTCTCCCTCCGTTGACCTCAAGAATTTAGAAAAGAAGCACACGAGATGAGCTCTAGCAAGGTTTGGCTGAGATTCTTTTAGTATTTCCCGACATTCCAACCGAAAGCGGATCCAAAACAATGGCTGTCTATCTATCTGATCAAACCCACCCACCAAACACCGAGCTAGAGCACACATTCCAGAACAAAGCGGAAAAGAAAACAGAAACAGCCTACGGGGGATTCGATTTCATGATCCCCGTCCCGAAACCCAGAGGAGAATCTGACAGGCCCGATCGCCACCCTGTCATGCGAACCTGAAGCTTCTCTTTTCCTGACGTCGATGCGATGCGATACGATGGATCTAGCCCGAGCATGGCAGGCTAGTAGTCAGGAACCAGACCATGACAGGGCAATCATTAGCGGCCCAGACTAATAGTCGATAGTCAATCCGATTGTCACCTTCTTGCAGGATCTAAGATACGTGATAGCACCGGCTGAAGGTTGTCAATTTGCGGCTCTTTCGCGCGTCACCCTCATCGTGAAGGTAACCAAGATCGGTATATGCAGCCGTCGAACAAATGTGTCACCAGGTTGTTTTACCTTCTTCTGCAACGCAGCTGCAGATGTATGTCCGCTGCGGCTGCAGCATCTTTCTTCACCGTACTGAATGACAACCGGCAGCTGAAAGAGAACTCGGCATATCGCAAAGTCGAGCACCCCACCTTCCATACGCGCAACATTTTCGAGACAGAACAGCCGTCCCCCTTTTTTTCCTTCTGCAAAGGCACTGGATAGCTGAAAGTAAGGGCCTCCGTGCTATATGCGCTTTTTCTTGAATGCCGGGCCACTATCCTCGGGTGACGAGTCCGCACCAGTCCCCGAAGCTTTTCGTGATGGCCGGGCCATCTCCAAAATCCGAACATTACCAAGTGCCACACCCAGTACTCCCTCAATTCTATCTTTAGTCCTGATGTGCTGGACACGATAGCATACAATCCACCACCGAGCGTTGCATTGAACAGATTAGCCGCACCTAGTCATAACAGTGGACACCATCTAACACACCCAAGCAATCCAACAAGAAGCCATCCGTCGCCCCATCACCACACCACCATCATGAACTAGATTCTAGATACAATAAAAAAGCTCACACTGCAGGATTTGCCGTGGTCAACGGGACCAGAGCCACTCCCTTATGCAGTGCTACGAAAACCCCTCTTATCCCGAGGGTTTTCATACCAGTTCTTAATTCCCGGGAGGAGGGAGACTAATCCTGCGTCAGGATTGAGTCGCCCACTCCCAGGATCGAACGCAGAACCGAGGGCGTTTGACCTTGACTACGCACGGCGAGTTTCCCACTAAACCACCGGTCCTGCTAGTTGCCGAGTAGATACCGTTTGAGGTACATATCCTTGCTTGTTGTAAGCCTTTCGAGCAGTTACTCACGAGAAAATGCCGAGCAATGACCCACCACCACCACCACCACCTAACATGGTGATGTTGATAGTACGCCCAGTGCCCTGGCACATGTTGTAGATCATGCACCCATAACTCATACATATATTCCCCTCTTCTTCGAAACTTTCTACTCGCTATTAACTGTACCACCAATCTATTCCATAGGTCTCATTCCGGATTCTATGATCGCCGACCATACACACCACACATATTCCTGCGAGTGCCAAGCCCATTTCTATACACACCATCCAGACAATGTATATGCACCCAGCCCACAACCCTCAACTAACCCCCTGCAATCCCAAATCGTGTCCTATCCCAAAAACGATCATCAAACCTCAACACCAAGATCTCAAAATGCATTCCCCCCCCCAAAAAACCCCAATCCAACCAGACCCCAATCCCAAGCCCATCAACCACAAAACTCGATAGATCACATCCTCCAGGCCGCCGATACACAATCTAATCAACCGTACACGTACACGGCCGATCACGCACGCACGCACGCACGCACGGAACCACCCCAGAGTCTAGAATCTAAAATAGATAGATACATCCCACAAGCCCATCTAGAACAACCCCTAGGTAGTCTACCTGTATCCACAACAAATCGATTCATCCTGCCAACACCTACCGAAAACCAGGAAATGTCAACCTGCTAAAAAAAGTAAGCAAAGCAAAGAGAACACGGGAGCCGATCGCCGCACGCTTGAAGCAGCTAGACTAGCTATCTACAGTCCGGTACGGTCCCGATATGCTTCTAGACGCCTACTAGAACGCGCTAGAAGGTGGCACTCGATCTATCGAGTTGTTGATCTGGGATACAGGCGGTAGCGTGTTTGGGCTTGATTTCGATCGGATCGGATCGCATTGGATTGGGTTATGGGTCTAGGAATAGGAAAGGGGTTCTGTTGGCGGGTGGTTGATTGTGGGAGGGAGTGGGGTGGGTTGCTTTTTACTTTGTTTTGGGCGGTGCTTGTGTAGTACCTGGTTCTATAGCTGGGGGTAGTAAGGAAGGGGATTTGGGTATGGAGGATGAGTTTGATGATGATGATAAATAAGGAAGAAAGTAGGGCAGAAGTCATCGCTCAAAGTGGATGCGTCTTTGTCAATTGAGATAGGTTGTACTGTTGGCTATATAGGTATCACCATAGTCGAGATACAAAAAGCGACGTGCATCTTTAAGGAACTCCATAACATAAAGTATAGAAAAGAATGTGCATATCATTACCTACCTAGGGAGAAACTGTATGTGCAGCCTATGTCGACCTATTCAAAAGCACCCACCTTCCAGACAACACCAATTAGTCGAGATGGAAAGATCCAAAACCTACCTCATGGCCGGCCGTTATCGAACGTACACCGCCTCACCAGGATCATGCCCCGACAACCCAGTCTGCGCGACGAATTGCCGGTACAGCGCGCAGACCTGAAGCCGAGTCCAGGGCCCAAAGACAAGCCGCCGCCCACGGTCCCGATACTCGGACTCCTGCTCTGCCGGGAGCCTCGCCGCCAACGCCTCGGGCCGCGCCATCAACCACTCGCCGAACGTGCTCAACTGGCCCAGATACCGGCTGCGCAGCTTGGGGAGGTGGACGAGGGAGGCCGCACAGCAGCGCAGGTACATTGGGTCGAGCGGCCGGTGATGCAGGATGTGGTAACCCCCGGCCGGGCTGAAGTCGAAGGAACCGGAGCGGCCGTGGTCCATCAGTTCCAGCCAGCGACGGTCCTCGGCCACGGTCAGGCCCGCGTCGGCGGTGATGCACGCCCCGAGCCGCTGTAACTTCCCTTGCCCGCGAAGCCAGCCCTGTGAGGCGACGTACTCCATCAGCTGAAGGTCCTCGATGCCCTGGAGGGAGAGCTGATAGTGGTGGTACAACGCGTCTGCGCCATACCAGACGTCGAAGCAGACTTTGGGTGTGTTGGGGGACTCGAGGATAGTCTTGAGGGTGGTGGAACCGTCCGAACTGGCGGGCGTCGAGAAAGCCATGACGCCGAGGGTTTGGACGTCCACTATATAAACGCTGTGAAGCGCTTCCAAATACACCAACATGATGCTCAGGGTACCTTCTCGGGAGAGATGGACCCCTTGCAACTCGATATAAAGCGGTTCAGAACGCTCCGCGATGATGATGTCGAGAAGCCAGCTGACACCAGCTTGGGTAAAAATCTTGAGGAAGAGGGGGTCACGCATGTTTTCGTCGGTTGTCGCAGCTGGTCCCATAGTCAGTGATTTTCCTGCGCGAAGGATAGGACAAGCACTTCCAAAAAAGAATAATCCAGTGTCGGATTGGTATCTTGTCAGGAGAGCTAGGCTTATAGTGATTAAAGGTGTAAGAGATAGACTGAAACGATGCCATGACAATACTTATATAGTTAGAGTGGGAATGTTGAAAGACTAGGCCCTCGGGACATTCCAGCAGACATCAATGACATTTGCTGTTGAGTCTTTACCCGCATATGCACACAAGCCTTTCTTCATTATTTTCAATAGATTGGGCATGCTCTTTCAGTCGCAAGGGCGGAACAACCTTGACTCCTCTGCTCGAGCAGTGGCTGCGATGATCGCCGCAAATCATCCAAGACGAAAGAGGATAGTAGGTCGTGAGTACAAGGAAGTAGCCTCGAATAGACGAAGGCAAACATGTCATCAGTCACCCTGCTGTTAGTATTTTGCGGCAAGATGTACCAGATAAGACCAAGGCGCGAACGGCTTAGAATAAAAGAAAAGAGGAGGAAGCACAGCGAAAACAAGAGAATAAGAAGGTATACACATCAGAAGTATGGATTCCCTCAGGGAAATGGAATAGGAAAATACCCAACTAAGTCTAGGTAGGCTGGTAATCAGTCATAATGAACATACACAAACACAAACGAACACGCGCGAATGCTCCTTCTACAACAACCCTCACAGAGCACCCAACTCCTTCAACTTGCCGATCAAACCATCCACATCCTCAACCTTACCACCACCCTGGCGAGCGGGAGGTTCTAGTGGGAGAGAGAATTAGCGTCCAAGAATTCGTTCCAGTGAACAATACAGCGAGAAACTCACCAGTAACCTTAATCGTCTTCAACCTCCTCTTATCCTCGACTCCAAGATCGGCCAACGTCTTCTTCTCGAGAGGCTTCTTCTTCGCCTTCATGATGTTCGGCAACGTGGCGTAGCGGGGCACGTTCAACCGCAGATCCGTCGTGATGATCATGGGCAGCTTGGCGCGCAGGGTCTCAACGCCGCCGTCGACCTCATGCGTGACCTCGACCGTGCCGCTCTCGTCCTTGATCTCGACCTTGCTAGCCTGCGTCGCCTGCGGCCAGCCCAACAGACCGGCCAGCATCTGGCCCGTCTGGCCCTGATCGCCGTCGATCGCCTGCTTGCCCAGCAGCACCAGGTTGATGTCCTCCTGTTTGACCACCGCCTGCAGCATCTTGGCCACGGTCAGGGGCTCGGGGCCGCCGTCTGCGCTATCGCCCACGTCGACGTGGAAGGCCCGGTCCGCGCCCATCGCCATCGCCGTGCGCAGCTGGTCCGCGCACCTGGCGCCGCCTGCCGACAGCGCCAGGATCTGGTCCACCTTCATCGGGCTCTCCTTCTTGGTGTGCCGCTCGCGCAGCCGCACGGCTTCCTCGACCGAGAGTTCATCGAATGGGTTGAGCGAGTGCTTGACGCCCGCCGTCTCGACGCCGGTGTTGGCTTTGTTCACGCGGGGTTTGACCTATTCATGGGGGGCGTCGACCGTTAGTTCCTCCTTTTGTTGTTGTAGCTTAGAGGTTGTGGTGTTGGGGGTTGAGGTCAAAATTTGGAAGTATAGTGTCGCTATGGGGTGCAATGGCTTTGCGGGCAGCGTGGCGCGGAGATTCGAACTTCGACTTCTCACCGAAGCCGGAGCACGGGAGGGAAATTGAAAACTCACCGCATAGTCGATGACCCGCTTGATGGGGACGAGAATCCGCAAGTTGCTAGCCATATTGAGTGATATGTAAAGAGGATTCAGTCTCAAGAAAGGAAACAAATTTAGCGGGCTCGTGAGGAGGAAGATACGAAGAGCGCGAGAGAGGGGAGAGGGGGAGAGTTGAGAGGGAGGGAAATAGTGTTGTAGCTTAAACCGATCCGACGGAGCGAGCAGGCCTTCTCCATCCGCGGCAGAAAGCAGGTGACTGACTGACTGACTGACTCTACTAGGCCAGGGCGGAGAAGACCCCGAGGCGGGCCGAACTGATCAACCTCCGCCTGTGTGTTTGTTCTGTCATTCCCGCCTCCAACCGAGGTAAGTCAGCCTGCAAGAATCCTACTTGAATGTTCCTTTGACAGGTGATCGAGAGACAATGACCTCATCGTGCTTGGGCTTATTCTAAATGGTTGCTGGTGTCTCGCTTTTTACAAAGTGTGTACAGCATGCCTTCCTACGGACCGACAAAACATCACCACGTCTCCTGCTTGTAACGGCCCGTCTTCTCCATTCCCAGCAGATACTGCTCCGCACCTTGTTCATTGAACCGATCCGTTTCTACCTCCGCTCCATGCTGAAACGCCTCGGTGAGAGCTTGTCGCACCGCTTTGGGCATATTTCCAGACGACCCGCAAATGTACACCGAGCCACGCATGTCGTGCAAGAGTTTGAAGAGGAGGCCGAAGTTCTCGCGGATCACATCCTGCACGTAGATCTTCTGCTTTTGGTCTCGCGAGAATGCAGTCAGAACGTTTAGGCGGACCAGCTCGCCCAACTGCTCCCACTCCTCCTCAAAGAAGAAGTCCGCCTCTCGGTTCCGACCTCCGTAGACGAGGAGGGTCGGCCCAATCGGCGGCTCGACTCCAGGGTGCTCTTCCTGGTACGCCTTGACGATCGCGGCCTTTTCCCAGACCATTGACCGCAGTGGCGCGATCCCAGTCCCGGGACCGATCAGGACCGTCGGTCCTACTAATTGGTTAACGGATGAGTTGAGGCCGCCACGCTGCAACTGCACCCTAAGTGTACTTCCGGGTCGGAGCACCGCCAAATACCGTGTGCAGACTCCCTGTCGAATGCGCTTGATCACCGTCTGGTACTTGACGATAGCAACCAGCAGCTCGAACTTGGTGCCTCCCTCGGTCGTGTGCTTGAGTGCGCCCCCGCTGGCAATACTGAATTGTCTTGCTCTCATGATCGGAAACACCGAGACAGCGTGCTGCCATGGAATCTTGACCGTATCAAACTCATGCAGAACCTCCAGAATGCTGCGCCGCGGTCGAGTAGTGTAGTCCCACAGCTCGTCCAAGAACTCCGGGTTTGTGAACTCCAGAAGACGCTCTTTGTGCATTTCGTAGTCCGTGTAATGAGCGACGGTGGCGAAGAACGCCCGACGAGGAATGGCCTGGATGTCGAGGTAATCGGTGAGGAGAGCGCGTAAGGTGAGTTTGGGATAGGACTCGAGACCCTGAATAGGTGGTGATGGCATCTCATCGTCGTCTGTAGAGACCAAAGTTGGTCCCGGAACGAGAGTCACCAGTCGATCGACATCGGCCTCCCATCCCATCATCGTGATCAGATTGTCTACGTCATTGGCAAAATTCTTCGGTGTGATAGACAGCATATCCCCCGGAACGTAGGATACCGCCTCCGGGACAGTGAGAGACAGATGGCGCACATCCTGCCAATGCTTTGCGGAAGTTACGCGCTTGTTCTCCTTCAGCGTTGCTGTCAATGTGTCCGGCAGCGGCCGAACATCATGACCGAGGCGATCCAACTCAGAAGCCCCATTGATATCTGCGGTGGAGTCTGTAAATTGCTCTGGTCCCGAGGACCCTGCTACGTTGCCCTGTAGCTGTAGCAGCCATTTCGGGGGCAGCTGAACATTGTCCGGTATCGGCTCCTGCCCCGGCGGAAGCGGATATGTGTCGAGCAGATGCTCACGAAGCCTCGTGAACCACGGGATAAACGTGCCCTCCAGACTGAAGAAACCGGAATTAGCATCACACCCGTCTCTCATCCACATCGATAGGACAGGAAGAAAACTCTCTCACCCCTCAGGATGCTGCTGATCCGCCTCCCCGCAAGGATGGATCTCCTCGGCGCCCAATTGAAGCAGACGTTTATGCAACTTGCGAGCAGCCCAATTGAATCTTCCCAAGTATAGTCAGAACCAAACAGAACCTCAACCCTTGGAAACGCACTCACTTAGGATACGAACTATCCCCCAGCCCAAAAGACGCAAACCGGACGCCACCCAAAAACGTGTGCGGGAGTCTCTTCAACAACAGCGATCGCCAAAACGCCCGCGCATTCGCCGGGAAATCGCCCTGGCCCGTCGTCGAAACCACGAAGAGAACAAGCGTGTACGACTTGAGTGAATCCTGCGATGGCGCCAGTTAGCATGGTGAATTGCGTAAATACATACCAAACTCCCTCAATCTCACACCGCGACGCGGGGAGGGGGATACCGCAAACGCACCGGCTTGTACAGGTTTAATTCGGCAACATGCGTCTTGAAATGTAGTCGCTCGGTCAATGCACCCAGCTCCTCGGCAACTTCCTGCGAATTGCCAGTTTCGGAGCCATACAGGACAAGCGCGGAGCGTTTCTGTGAGGCGGGCTGGTTGCTCATTGTTCTGGCACGTGCGCGGGGGGTGGGTGCCGTGGTGACAAGGTGAGCAAACGCTCTCGCGAAATTGTACTTAGTAGATAGCGATAGCGGGAAGCGACTCGACTTACTTCACCCGGCAAATGCACTTCACCACTACCGTCCGTGTTTTTAGGACCCCTCCGGAGAGAAGGCCTTTTGTGCCGGACGGAGCGGGATGACGTCATCCCGAGGATCGGTGTCACTGCGAGATGGGGAATATTATACTACTGCAGGTGCAGAGATAGTGATGGATTGCTGTCACGACCGCTCGCGTTGCAAGATATGCCCATGTGGCTTTGCAATATGTGATGTCCGACGGGCTGTATAGAAGGCTTTCAAAATGTTCCAGCCTTTTATTGCCACGTGGAACCTCCTAAACCACACCCTTTTCATACCGGGAAGACAAGTGAAACTACGGAGTACCAGCACTGATAAACCGCTCAGATTGATAAGATCAAAATAGATAATGAATATAGGGGTATCTCGAAATAAGCGCCCGCAGTTTTTCTAATACGTATCCTCATCACCACCCCCGCCACCACCATCGCCGAATCCGTCGTCGCCGTATTCATCATCGCCGCCATCGAAGTACTGCTCGGCATTGTAATCCCCGCCCATGTCATCGTCATCGTCTTCGAAGTCATCATCCACAATCTCCTCTTCCTCCTCATCAGGATCGAGGACCTCGCGATCGTCATCCTCGTTCTCGCCAGCCTCCGCATCGTCCTCATCCCCGGTCCGGCGCTTCTTGCCCGGTTCGTCATCTTCCTCGTCCTCCTCATCCTCGAAGCCACGCTTGATACCGGGCCGATCGATGCGCAGGACGTATCCATCCATAGCGGAATCGGGTTTGAAGCTCGGCTGGATGGTCTGCCACAGTTCCTTCGGGAAGAATTTCATCACTAGCGAAAGAAAAGCTAACAGTTAGCACTGTATCTCCGTAGTAGTAGAGCCAATACCCCAATTTTCCCCCTAAGCCAAAAGCGCCCACTCGGGATAACAATCCCTCGGCCCAATTCCAAACACAAATAAAATCCGAAGAGAGAAACAACTCACCATATTCCCTCCCCGCCAATTTAGGCAGCGTCCTCATCTTCTTCTGGTACTTGCCCGAGTACGAAGGCATCCCGTGAAACGGATCGAAGTGCGCCCGCGCGGCACTCTCCTTCTTGGCCGCCGTGGTCGCCGAGTCCAGCACCGAATAATACGGGCCATCGTGGAAGCGTTCGCGCAACGACCGGTACAGGTCCACCTGGATCTGCTCGCGAGGGGTTAAGGTTCTGGCGCGGGGAACGTGGTATTTCTATATGAAAGAAAGTTGAAAGGTTAGCAAGCCATTCATTGTCCGAATTGAGTCCCTGATCCTCCTCCCAGATTACCCCCTTCCTTGGCTTCTCCAATTCAACTCCAGGACATAACCAGTCCTTTAGTAGAGCAGCGTACCGGAAAGAGAGGTGTAGGCGCGGTATCGGGCTCGCCGCTTCCATCGCCGGTCTCCCAGCTGAATTCGGCGCCGGGGAGCTTGCGGCCTTTCTTGGCTCCGAAGCGGGACATGATGGGAGAGAGGACGAGGTTAGATTGAGTGGAGAGGGTGTGTGCTTCGACTAGAGTGTCTCCGTCTCAGCCAGAGCTAGAGCGAGGCTGCACAGCGAAGGGGGAGTTGCGCTCAGCTGCAACGGAACGATTGAGGGGATGATGCGGCGCGGCGGGAGAAAAAAAGTACCCTTGCGGCGGAGCTTGGAGTCACCGCCTTCGGAGATAGGCTGGATTAGGCAAAAAGGGCACGTCGCGGGTAGCCCTGACATTTACTTGTTGTTTGGGCCAATCATGTTGTAGAATCGCTACTGCAGTTATTTCGTGGATTTATGGCCTCTCCGGTGAAGACCTAGTCTAGTGTTGTATCTATTACCCCTAGTTCTAATCAGGTTTGTCAGATGTCTCGTTGTGCCAAAGGTATCAGCCGGGAGGACCATACCTCTGCAATATCCACTGCAACTACATCGAACTCAAAAGGCATGTAGAGCGTGAGCTCTTCTTTGCTTCACCATCCGAGATCCAAGAGAGTCTAGTATCACGATAAAATGCAAATCATCTGCTGAAGAACTTAGTGGCACCTCTGCTCAAAGCATCAGCCTACCGGCCTAAATAGAGTAGGTGGTGTCTGCTTCATGCAGACACAATACCAACTCACTGACCGCGGAGTTTCCACATAAAGTGGCGTCGCCCAGTAAAATGTGCCAGAAGAATTTCAAGAATGAAGTGCGATCGTAAAAGCGAAGCTGGTAGATTTCTGTATAGCTTCTAAATCTTGTGTGTCCCCAGGGATCGAGGTTTTCGTAGATTGCAATGCAAGGCTGGATTTGTGTATTGAAACGCCGGGCAGATACCTGTGCCTTTTCTGGGATGTACGTCGAGAAGGATATTAGAACGAGATCTCGGTTTGGAAAAGCTTCGCTCGACTGTCTTTTATTAGTAGAGTAGGAATAGGTGGAGGGGCACGGGGGGCCACGGGGATATTACTTGCATCTGACTTGGTGAAAGAAGTGACCGGCTGATGTCTCTGGAGCAAGTACCCTTCAATCAAGCCAAACAGAGCCCAATTTCCTGCGTGAACAAACTCAATCCATGATGGTTTGTCTCCTTGCCCCTTTGAGCTAAGTCTTCCGCTTCCCATCTCTTAGACTCTGTCGACATCGAGTGTTGTACGCCAGTACGAACCTGGTAAGAAACATGGAGAGAGAGATTGACTGCGAGCTCCTTCCCATCTGGAACCAATCGGAGGTATGTATCGCGTCGTAGCGCACCGATCGAGCCGAGAAGCGCGTTCCCAGCTGCCGTAACATGGCGTTTGTTAAGGGGTTCGAGCTCTTCATGTCCAGGCGTGCATGGTCGAGCAAGCTTCCATGGATTGACAAATCGACCGGGTTGCGGACCAATTCAGCCGTGGCTAGGTGTCGCAGCGAGGTAGACATGAAAATAGGAATATCCAGCTAGAAGGGCTTATGGCGTGGTCATATTAGCTATTAGTTTATAGACATCTGGAGGTAACAAACCTTTTATCTTCAACTCCATTAGCGGCAGGACAGTTGTCGTGATTCTATTTGTGCCATGTGCGAGGTAGAATCCACTTGTCACAATAATAAGCGGCCAGTTTGCAAAGGTAGTGAGGGGAGGCATAGGGATGATGTGGAGATGGAAAGAGAAAGAGAAAAGAAGGGCTGGGGATTAGAGGCGAAAGTTAAAGTGAAGGCTGGAGATTAGAATAGGTCCGTCACAACATATTCCAGCAGGACTAAAGGACATACAACGGCCCAGCCTATACTCTAGCTCCTCACTGCTAAACTGATGGCAGCCAAAAGAACATGACCGGATAGATACAGAGGTTTAGGACAAGGTGTTATTGTCTACTAGACGGCGCTTCGAGCTCATCAATTCCTACACGCAGCGCTGATAACTAGTAGATACATTGTGGCTTCATAACAACTTGATTGGATCGAATACAGAAGTAAGCTCGTCTTAGCTTCACCATCGGAGATGGCTACTAAACTCCAGCACCACGGTGAGGTGCGGGCTCGTCGCTGGAGACCTGGTCCCCTCGTCAACCAGGTACCCTTCCCAACACCAGGGATTTCGTGAACATTCTTTTGAATGCTGAATGAGGGAGCTAGCACTGAAGTGCAAGCCTCGTGGCCGTGAACTGATCACTGGCAGAACCAGCGTCAGGGATGTGTGCGTCTTCGACCTCGGTCTACCCTTCCTCAGGAGTTGCCGCCTGGGATGAGCAGTAATTTTCCGGATCCCGGGGATCAACATGAAGCCTGGACCGTCGCTGAGTATGGCGCAAGCCTTTCTCGTGGAGGGTTGTCAGGCTGTGGTGTTGAAACCCAGGTTTCGGAGAGTATAATTAGCAAATCTGACACTCCCGTGTACGGGACGTTCAAGCCCATCCAAGTCATCACGGTGAGATCTAGCCTTGACATGGAACCTGGACCGTCCTTGAGTGCGACGCAAGTCTTTTCTCGTGGACGGTTGTCAGGCTGTGGTGTCAAGAGCCAGAGGCCGCGGAAAGTCTAGCCGGTGAGCGAAGGTCCTGGGGACTCTTCCACAAACATCACCGGCAGTAAGGCCGTGCAAAGAAGGAGGTTGCCCTCCCAACACAGTGAATACCGGCTCTGTGCAAGACCGGTGATCTGTCCAGGCGCGACCTAGACTCGGACGACATCCTCGTAACGGTCGACGCTTTATTCTAAGAATAAAGACATCAGTCACGAGGAAGCGTGAAAGAGGAAGAAGAGGAGGGGAGAGAAGAGAGAAGGAAGGAGAAGATGAAGTAAAGGGAGGGGACAGAGAGAAGTGGGTCGTCGTCACAGGACGCGTAGGCGTGAAAGTAACACAAGAGCCTGAGATACTAACAGGTCCTGTCTACATATCTGTAGTGTCTGAAGACTGCAGAGGCCTGCACACTCTTCCATTAAGTGACGGATTTTCCATTCACATCGCTCTCAGCTTGAGTAAGGTGCCACAAACCGGCTTCTAAGATTACATTAATGAAGCTCAAGGAGTATCCTGACCCAGAACCATGGCTCTACGCCAGTAAGTAAATCCAAAGATATTCCTTGAGGGTCGCCGCGACCTGAAACACTCTGATCAAGTTGAACGCGATTCAATGCTAATATATCACAAACATGGCCAGATGTCTCCAATTCATTCCAACTCCACCTATACACCTCTAAGTGAAGAAAGAAGACCACTGAACCGAGAAACCTGCTGGCAGCAAACAAGCACAATTTGGAGTTTGCAGCCAAATATGATAGACAAATTAACATAACCGGCCTCAATGACAAAGTCATGGCTGTCAGCCAGCGTCTTCCACAAGTCCTGAAGCTTGCTACGAATACGACGAGTCATCTTTAGATGATGTCTCCGGGGCAAGCAGGGATTCAATGAGGACTTGGAAGTGACTGATTGGGGAGAGAGAAATCTATTGGAAGCAATGAGCTGAGATGTGGGGTAATTCTCGTTGGGACGCTGAAAAGACGTCCTCGGCTTGTCCTTCCATGGAACCTGTTCTCAGGGCTGCTGCTCCTTCATCCCTATTTGCGATTGACGAGTCAATCACTATGACTGAGGCCCTCAATCAGTATATCCTGGAAGCCATGAGCCAAGCATTAAACATGTCATTACGTGGCAGTATTCCACGGTCTGAGGAAATGAGCATTAGGGAAGGGAGACACCAGATGTCGTGCGTACCTGGTGGCCACAGACTGAACGACATGTTCTTCCAGAATTCAAGATCTACAGGAGGAAAGGGAAAGAAGATCACTGGTTTGAATTTTGCTTCTCGTTGATACCTCAAGTCAAAGATGAAGATCTGTACATTGAATTTTCTTGAACGCTGGACTGCTAAAATTGATTCTTGCTGAAACCGAAGGAAAAGCTCATATCACAAACCGACAGTCGCAACTTGGTTGCCAGACTGAGTCACTGGGCCCCATGGTCCCTCATTGACACGTTGGCGGAGTGTACGCATAATATCTTCGAACCCAGCCATCTGGCCACCATTCTCTTTCAAGCAGTCATACAAGGCAACCAGCACCTCGTGCTTTGCGGTTGCCACTTTCCATACTGCATTCTGCGGGTCTGCGGCCCCGCCCCCGACGAATTCAGCGTACGAACGCGGAGGTTTGAATAGGTAGGGCAAGAGAATGGTTAGAGCCGGTGGTGTCAGAGCGGCCCAGGCACCGCTGGACGGAAGGACTCCTTGCGCGGCCGGGGATAGACTTTCCAAGCTTTGTTCGGTAGGGAGCTGATACCGAGTGTTGCCAGGGGCAGATGTCGGGACTTCACGCGGCAAGACTTGCCAATTAGCAGTGATAATTGCCTTCATGAGGGACATAGCTGCCAAAGAGACGTCCTTCATGGCGAGGATGTCAGCGGTCGCGACGACATCGGTCCAGAACTCGGTGTGCTGGTTTGTGTACTGAAAGTAGAGAACCCGGGCAGCCGCTGCCTCTTTGTACCAGTCGGTAGGTGTTTGGCCGGATGTGTTCAGCTCCATCGCGTCGGGCAGATTAGGCTTCAGCGGGCCGTGTAAGATCTTGGCAAGAACATCGAGGGCTTCTTTGTTTGGCGGACTGCTGGGCACGGATAAGACGGCGTTCAGGCCATGCTTACTAGCTTCGACGAGCAAAACTCTCGGCAAGCAGGAAAGCACATTCAGTTGACCGCTGGGAACGGGGCCATGCGCCCACTGAGCGGATGAGATTGCAACAGATGCAGCGACACGATGTATAATACGGTCCAACAGATGGCGGGGGTTCTGCAGAAGGTGGTTTGGATATAGTTCGGCGTACTGTGCAACGTACGACATGATTGGGCCGCAGAGATAGGCTAGATCAATAGAGTCCAGCTTTGACTCATCCAAGTAAAACTCCAACAGATTAGAGTGTATGTCGTTCAGTATGAGGAAGTCAAGAGCTGGAGAAGAGAAGGTAGACGCTGACTGTACAGTTGTTCGCGCCATGAGACCGGGAGCGTCGATTTCTAGTAAATCATGGAAGAAGTTGATTAGAGTCATGTGCATCAACACATCGCTTCTGTCCACCATGCGGCAAGCGGCAAAATGAAGAAGACTGTCACTCCGGTACTTCTTCTCCACATCTGGAACCTGCGAAGTTGAGATGATATCCCAGCGCAGTTGGCCTGCCTTCACGAGAAAGCCCATCAGCCTCCCTTGGGCCACTGTCTTGTCTCGCTTCGAGATGCCCCCCGCGCCATTCTCCTCGAGATTGCACACAGAGAACAAAAGTCCATAGACTTCCTTGTCAGTGAATATCCTTCTCCAGAACAGTCCTTGGCCAGCAGTAGTTCCGTCAGTCTCATGCTCGCCAAGCTCAAGAGGACTAGCAAGATCGATCTCCAACAGCGCCCAGATGGTATCTAACGCCGCCTGCGCAACAGCTGTCGAGGAAGTCGACAGCCACAGCTCTACCAGCGATGCGACGAGCTCGGAGTCCCCGGCGACAATAGCAGCGTCGCTCGGGATATGTCCCGCTTTGCTCAGCAATGACAAGGCCAATAGATTGACCGGCGGGGACGGCGCTTTGATCCCCGCAATGAAATTGATGGGAGGATCAACGGCGCGCAGGTCCCTGAACGTAAGGTAAGCCGAGGCTTTGATTGCGAGACTCGTGAGGGGAGTTGGGTCTTCTTGAAGGACTGGCAGGAGTTGGGAGATCTGTAGCAGTAGGGTGGCGGGGACATTGCGGTCCGTATCCTCCGTAAGCTCCAACTTCAGCTTATCTATGATGGTAGCATCCAGCTGAGTTGTGGGGTCACGCTGAATCTGCTGTAGATGAAGCCTGGCTTCATCAAAGGTCGTAGGAACTGTCATTTCGTTTAAGGGTAGTATGTATGCAGGGCTGCTGAGGGATGCATTCACGTTGATTCACTTCTCCCACTTCTTGATGCTAAGCGGGGGAGGGAGGGAAAGCTGGATTGCAAACAGGACAAACTTGGAACAGCTCCGCTCGAATCTCCGGACGATGAGAGCATCGATCCTCAACTCACAATACATTCACATTCACCAACTCAACCTTAGCTAAAGATTCTCGAACTTGACACAATGTCTGATCATCCTGACTCGCTTGTATCACTCAAAGCATCTGACTCCGGCCTTCACATCCAACTCCACCCGTTGATACTCCTGACAATCTCCGATCACATCACCCGCCACGCAGCCCGATGCCAGAAGGGACCCATAGTCGGAGCACTGCTGGGCCAGCAGAACGGCCGCGAAGTCACCTTAGAGCATGCTTTCGAGTGCCTGGTGACGGAAGGGCCGAACGGAGAAGCCCAGCTTCCGGATAGCTGGTTCATAGAGCGAGTCCAGCAATGTGAGCGATAAACTATCACTCCTTTCTCCTTCCTCGATAACTGACATCAGTGGATATCTCGCAGTCAAGGACGTGCACAAAGCGCCAGCCCTCGACCTAGTCGGATGGTGGTCGACCTGCCCATCTTCCGGTCCCAATACATCGCACCTGCCCATCCACCGCCAAATTCTTCAACAACACAATGAGTCGGCGATATTCCTCGCTTTCCACCCCGCAGATGTGACCGGAGCCTCATCAAGCAGCGGCAAGCTGCCTCTCACGATCTACGAGAGCGTCTACGAAGGCGAGAGCACCCCGAACACCAACAACACCACGAACACAATGCAAGTCGACAGCGAAGAACAACCAATCCTGAGCATCAAGTTCCGTGCACTCCCATACTCCGTCGAAACCGGCGAAGCCGAGATGATCGGAATCGACACCGTCGCGCGCACCGCTCGCAACGCCGCCGTCTATCCACCCACCAGCAGCACAGACACATCCTCACTATCCCAAGTGCCCAAAACCCAAGGTTCGAGCAACGACCAGCAGCGAAAAGCAGAACCACAACCAAATGAACCATCCGACCTCCTCTCCCCGGACGAAGAAGAGCGTACGCCATCCTTCCCACTCCAAGACCCCAAACCAGCTGCTTCGCAGGAATACTAAACCGCAAACCTCAAAAACCCACAGTGATCGCCAGCCTTAACACCCGCATCAACGCCATCCGAACCCTTGAATCCCGCATCTCACTCATCAAATCCTACGTCTCCAGCATCTCCTCGACTCCCACCTCTACCTCCACCTCCACCACCACCACAACAGCAACACCCCCAACCCTCTCCCACCCCATCCTCCGCGACATCAACGCCTGCCTTTCCCACCTCTCCCTCCTCACACCCCCTCAACAGAGTGCCTTCACCGCCGAAGCCCTCGCCCAGTCCACAGACGTCCACCTCGTTGCCCTCCTCGGCCAACTCAGCCACAGCATCAGCGACATGCGGGAATTGGGCAAACGCACCGCCATTCTGAACTACCACCGCCGCACCATGGCCGCATCCTCGGCAGCCGCGAGGAAGTCGGGACAGTCCGGAGTGTTGGGGTCGGGCGGCGGTGGTGGTGGTGGTGGTGGGGAGTTGCATCAGTTGCGGATGGGAGGTCGATTTGGGGACGAGATACTCTTCCCGAACAGAGTCGGCGGTGGAGATGGGCTTTAGAAGCGATACGCACCTAGATGTCATAACTGGAGTAGGTTGCCATGATGAAACTTAGCTACGTAATGAGATTATGGATGATGCAATGGTCTTTTCTCTTACCTTATTGTTGTGGTGGTGGTTGTTGAATGAGACTCATCCGGGCTACTTCCTGGCTTCCGAAGCTGCATGGACCCGGGTTGTCTTGATCACAATCTCGACTTGAACGAACGTATCATCGATTCTGCGCGTAGTACTCAGTGGACAACATGCAAATGACGGAGATCAAGATTTTCTAGTCACTGCCACTGGAAAATGGTATTTTGTCAAACAAGCCCCATCATCCCGCAGAAAGTATATATGGGCGTCTGTCTAGCTGCTACTGCGCTCAGGCTGATCAGAGGTTTAGATATAGTTCATTGATCTCAGGCTTTGCAAATTGACATTACTTTTAACAGATAAAGAATAGATAAACAGGTTCTTCACGGCCGGTATCGTATCCATCTGTGAAGATGCAGGCCAATCAATGTTCCCTAGTATACGATCCACTATACAATACATCGAACAAGCTGTGCTCCGAGGATTGGCAAGCGATATACATACATTATACATCAACGCTGTCTCTCAAACAACGCTTCGGGGCCAATCAGAGTACCAGTCTGTTATCTGACAGGAAACGGGAACGCAATGAACGTTGAGGAATCAATTCGTGCCAAAAAAAAACAAAAGTACTCTAGATGATTCTCATCAAACCACGATACAAATCAATCTTTCATGCCATGATCTCATATAGTGTGAAACAAGATAATGCAGCTAAAAAGCAAACAGCCAGGGCCCAAACAAACAGGGTATTATACGGCCAAAACAAAAAGTAGAAAAATCCCAATAGGTATAGAACCAACGCCAAGAGTAAAAGGGCAACGGTGACTGGTATGAAACACCGTCTAGAAACAGCTTGCTGTGGAGGGAGAGAAAGAAAGGTAAATGCAACAACCAGTGCTACGAGGTCTAGGTCATGTCATGTCACGCGCTTCGGTCTGCTTCGGCAAAATTCTTGATGCAATGCAGTGAACCCGGTTGAAAGTGGAGGACCCTGTCTACCTCCGGTGGGAATTCTCCATGTCGTACCCAGGCGGCGGTGTCTGGTATGTTTCTGGAAGAGGAATCGGAGGTTGTTCTTGGAGGGTGGGTTGTTGGTGTTGTTGAGGGTAAGTGGCCGCTGGGGCGGTGGTGGTATCCGGATACGGCGGGTTCCCAGGGGTAGAACTTTCATGGTGATAAGGATCGTGGGCCAGGTGCTGAGATTGGACCAAGTAGGGGTTGTAGGCGTCCTCATAGGACATATCCATTTGTGGAGTCGTGTGGGAGGGCTGCGGCTCTAGTATAGATGAGCCACTCAACCGGTTGTGCGAGTAGAAGCGCTTCGGATCACTGTCATCGTGCATCCCTGGAGCCAGTCCACCAGGACTGGGCTGAGCATGTGACAGAAGCACCTGGCCTTCTTCGTCGCTACCATATCGTCCCGCAGTCATCGCAGTCGCAGGCCCTTGGTATGCGGTTCCCTGAGGTGGGGTAACGTTCTCAGTCGCATTTAACCCAAACGCTTCGGTCGGCGTGTGGTAGCTGGGATCCAACGTCCGCTTTTTCCGTCCAACAAACAGCCAACGGAAACTGCGGCCAACTGCCTTAGCAAGGTCGATGGGGTTGAGAGCATCCAGCAAGCCTTTGAGACCAAAGCGACCTCCTTGGTAGCTGGTCTTTCCGTTACCGTAGAAATCGGTGACATCGGCTGTTTGTGCAAGAAGCGAGTACGGCTGCCAGGCAAAGGCCCACAGGTGGAGAACCGAGAAGATAGCCATCTCGATACAAATCAGAATATTAGGCAGTCCGACCTTCAAGTCGGGTGATTGGATTGTCTTGCTTGTTTTGATGACACCCGCGGAAGAGAGGAAGGAGATCAATGTCTGCAAGCATCATTAGATCGTCTGCCACGGAACTGACCCTCAGAAGGACACCACTCACCGACTGCCAGAAAGACAAGAAGATCACCAATTTGATAGAAAGAATTTTCAAGAATGGGCGGTGCTGGCTAATGTCGTCTTTGATCTGAATGTAGAACTGGATCAGGCAGTACATGGCAATCGAGACAGCGATACACTCCACGACCATGCTCTAATGAGGAAGCCTATCAGTTGAGGTCTAGCAATGATTAGATGCGCAAGCACATACCCAGATGTGGAAGAACGCAGGGTTGAGCGATTCTTCACAATAGACGTTGAAGTGCTGTGTGATGACGGCTACGACAGTCATGAGGACTCGCAGCACACAGTATTGGAAGACGCCCACCCAAATGACCTGCAATCATAGGTCAACCAAGGATCACCGCGCTTGAGGGCTATGACATAGCACTCACATTGAACCAAGTCAAGCCACTGCGGGGAGTCCTCCACACGCCTTTTTCACCACCAGTTATCTTTTGTAGCCAAGGAATTGGCCAGACCCATGGCTTAGGAACCACGCCTCGGAAGTACTCCTTCTGACTATGTAGGTCGGGTGCGACGTAGGCGCAAAGTAGGGAAAAGAAGGCCGAGATGGCGAAGGCTTCGTAGCAATTTCCGATCAAATCATAGTACACATCGTTCTTGTAAAAATAGGTTCCAACCCACGCGACGACCGAGTAAATAGGGATCATCAACAAAATTCGTATTTGACTGCGACGCGCGACATAGTAACATTAGTTTTGTGGGGTTGGGCCCAGTGGGAGAATAAGGCGGAGACGTACTGTCGTTGCTCGATCGGCTTGCTGTAATGTGTGGCATGCATCATAATGAGATAGAAGGAAACAATCATGGAAATCAGACCGAACACCCCGCCTACCATAAGGCAGAGTTGGTGAAAGGTAATGCCACCTTCCCATAGATCGACCTCGGTGACTGTGTGGATGAGAAAACAAAATCCGCGTCAGCTTGAGTGAACAATCGCTGTGTCGCAAGTTGCAGGGGAGGGGCGGGTAGAGAACAGAAAGGGACGTACTGGTCTCATCCTCGGCGGTGGAATTGCACACCGGCCAGCCCATACTCGCGAAATCAATGGAGACAGCTGAGCAATCAGAGGCCTCAAGATTCGCGGGAGGCAATGAAGGAAGGGAAAGAAGAGAGAAGGGGGGAGGAAGAAGGAGGAGTAGAATTGTCGCAAATCGAACGAAGAGCGAGAAAACAGTCGACTTTCTATCTTATCCGCCCAGCCGGGCTTGGCCCAAGAATGAGCGACGCAACCCCTGGGAACCACCCGAGATTAGACTTCCGTCCACACTTTTGTCGCGGGTGGAACTGCGATGATAGGTAATCGTGGGTCAGGGCCGACAAGAATAGGTAGGGCAACTGCCACACTGGAAAAGGTGCCGAGAGAGCGTGAGCTGCGTGTTGTGTTGCTTGGTGTTGCTTGGCAGGAACAGCGGATAATAAGAGAACGGGGAGGAGAAGAAGGAAAAGAAGGGGAGGGGAGAAAGAGAGGCTGGGGATCAACGGTGATCGGCCAGAGGGGGAGCGCGCACATGAATGGTATGGACAATGACGACTGATAGAGGACAGTACATTGAACGATTGATATGAAAGTAGTTGAAAGAGCAAAGACAGAAAGAAGTATTCAATCAGTTTTGTCTGTCCGTCAGTCTGTAACTTAGGTAGAGCAAGTTAAGCGCTGGTTTGGGCAAAGCAGCTGAAACAAAACACCTTGGATGGTGCAGTCAATCAATCACTCATTGTGTTGAACCCTTTGATTGCTTCAAAGTGTTTGGATGACGAACCACAGATTCCACCCCATACCATACCAATACATGTCATACCCGCTACTTCCCGCTACAAGCTCCGTAGATTAGTCCAAATTACACCACAGATGGTATTAGTGTCCGCTGACATAATTGATCCCCACTGGCCACGGGCTGCGCCACTTTCCCGAAATAGCCTGAACTGCCTTCTCGGTCTCTCCTCCATTTCTCTTATTCCTTTCCCCCCC